ACCATGTCAACCTGTCCTTTCGGGGGTTGCAGTGCTGACCAACATCTGGCCTGCTGCTCCTGACCCTCGTGGCTAGCACACATGCGTTTAATCGATATGACGGCGGTGGTTGGCCAACACAAACTGGAGTTGGTCCGTCTAGAAAGTTAGTAAGCAGTAGGCAATGGCAGGACATTCAGTTCGAAAAGTATCTAGATGAGTGCCCAATTTTAAGCTATTATGGATTTATGTCTAAAGGGCTCGCAGGTAGGTGATATATCAACCCCTGGAGGATTATCTCTAAAGCGCCTTCTTCGGGCCGCAGATAAACCTCGCCACACGACAGAAAACGAAGCCCAAGTACACCAGTCGTTCGCTGACGACGCTCCACAGTCCGTGTCCCCATTTCCGGCCCCGTTCGGCCAACTTCCTGCAGCAGCGCAGTCGCTCCTCGCCTTTCCTGGGCAGACCTCAGTCGGCGGACCCCAAGTTTGGCCGTCGGTTGAGCACCTACTTCAGCGACAAGGAGCTGAGGCACAGCGGAAAGGTAGGTGGGGCACACACCCATGGGTGATTGCTGTTATAACACTCTCTTCCAGCGACAAGTCTCCTCCAACGATCTGCTTAAATCCCTGCTGGAAGAGCCCATCAAGCGCAGCTGGCTGTGCCGCAGCAACTGCAACTCCTCTGAGTCGGACTACTCGCTCCACAAAAGCAGCGAGGAGGGGGAGCAGTTCCCGGTGGCCATGTCATCCGTTGGGGGAGGCGACAAGGGTAAGCCCTACTCCGGCCTCAGCAATGGGGCCCTGCTGCAGTGCACTGCCAAGCCAGATCTTCCGGGTAGAGTCTCCTTCAGCAAGCCCAATATGCACGCGGACCTGGACTCCAGTGACTGTGACAATGACAAGCAGGAAGTGGTGCGCACCAGTATCTCTGCCCCGGGACCTTTGACCCTGCCCAGTTTCCTGGGCAAAGTGCAGGAGCAGGCGGATGCGGCTGGGCAAAAGAAGTCCGTGCACTTTGGATCCACTGCCGCCGAGGGAGAGGTGCTGGCCGAGACCTACGAGTATCCCAAGTGTCCCTCGGAGAACTGCACTTGCAGCACACGATCTTCCTCCACCACCAGCACCAATGAAGCCTCTGCATCGGAGGTTAAGTGTGCCTGCGATGCGCCCAGTTGCCGGTTTGTGGACTCCTCCCAGGCAATGGAGCCCACTGAACCAGCTGCCATTCTCCCAAAGGCGCCCACACCAGAACTAAATGTCATTAGGGAGTACAAACAGGTGGTGAAGAATCACTTGGGCACCGAAACCCTCAACAACATTGAGCCACTACCCAATTACTTGGACAAGTACGCCTCTCCCTCGAAGGAGAAGCAGAACAATCTGTCGGAGACCAAAAACCTGGCCACCAGCACCTCCTCCAGCAACAACAGTGCCCCATCCTACAGATCCACCTCCAACCCAAGGAACTTTGGGGCCGAGAACAACTTTTTGCCAGCGGTGCAAGATGATAGGAGGTCCTTTGCCAATGCCAGCTCTGAAACCGTCATTAACAACTATCTCAAGGTGACCTCAACGCCTTCATTTGCGGCCAAGAAAAAGGAGAACGTGAAGCCAGCCAGTGCGGATCCTATTGCCAGGAGCAGCAAGTCCAAGGTGACCAAAACAGCAGCAGGCAATCCAGGATCAGCTCCCTTGGGAAAACTGAAGAAGGCCATCAGTGTGGGCAGCCTGCGGGAGGAGCGAAAGCTCTCGGAGTACAATCTGGACAAGGTGGACAGCTGGATGAGCATGCAGGACCAGAAGCAGTTCGACCACAAGCACAAGCAGGCACTGGAGGATCTGGACGAGAATCAGGACAACGATACCGCCTCGCAGCTATCCCTGAAGTCGAATGAGGACTCCCGGGACTCTACCTACGATGAGATAGTGTCCGTCATTAAGGAAATCGAAGAGGACAAAAAGAGGGGTAGGTTATGGAATGGATTTATAAAGGGTTATTTATAATCTTCTTGTACTTTACAGACAACTTTTCCGAGCGAATTCCCAGTGAGCTGAACTTGAAACTGGATTCCCGATGCGAGACTGCCGAAACAGTGACTCTAAGTGAAGGAGCAGTTCCCGAGAGCGGAGATAAGTACAAGTGAGGAATATAATATATGAGTGAACAGGTTTTGAAAATGCTTTCAATGCTTTGGATTTGTTTGCTTTTGTTTCTTGCTCGCAGCAACAGCACGGCATAGACTTAACTGCTTTGCTTCCTTGCAGTTTATATTCTCATGGAACTCATAACAAATTATTTTTCTTAGGGACATCTTGGCCTATCTGAACAATGTGGAGAGCAGCTGCGACAAGACGTTGATGGAAACACGTCGCTCCATGCCGGACAGCAATCGATCCGAGGTGGAGTTTGTGGTGGAGCCCGACATCACTGATGAGGTGCCCAAGTGGGTGAAGGTTATCTTAATCTCTGCAAGTTTCCAACTAACTTTCCCGCTCCAATCCAGGTTGTCCGAGCTGCTGATGCTGCCCAATCACCAGCTGGCCAGAAGGGTCATTGCCCTGAGCCTGCGGGCCAACGAGTTGGCCAACGCCATCCACATGTCCAAGGAGCACGTCTTCCAGCTACGCGGTGAGAAGCAGAAGAGCCTACGGGCCGAGAAGTCCACAGCTGCGGCCAAGCTGCGCGACCAGAAGAAGCACTACGAGGAGGTGGTGACCCGGCACCAGGGATTCATCGAGCAGCTGCTCAAGGACAAGGGCTCCCTCTGCGAGAAGGTGGCGGCCCTCACCCGTCGCCTTGAGAGCCAGAACCAGGCCTGGGAGCACCGCCTGGAAACGGAGCTGGCCAGGACCAAGGAGACCACCATGGCGGGCGAGAAGATCCGAAGGGAGCGTTGGGTGCGCGAGAACACCAAGAAGATCAAGGTACTTAAGAACTAGAAGCCCTGCTCAAGTTGAGTTTAAAATACGCTCCGAGCAAGAGCTTAATCTGTTTGTCTATGACTGGAATCATATATGGCCTATAGGTCATGGAACACAGGATTCACTAAGCTCTTAAAGAGTTTAATTTTTTGAGTATTCGCAGCTTAAGGCAGTCTAATAAAACCTTAAAGGCGTAATTGATTGACAAAAATTGCCTTTAAAATTCTTAAGAAATAGCGGTCCATCGAAAACCAATTTTTAGAAGCAAAATTGACCTTACTTAGCTGAAAATTTCTTAAGCATGCATTACATTTTAAAATTACTATAAAAATACTTTCCAGTCTATCATTAAAATTAAGGATAATAATAATGAAAATGTATGTTTAATTTCTTTAATCAGATAGCTATTCTAACAAGACATTTTACATAAAAAGATGAATGTTTGCGATTCCATGAGCATATGATTCCAATTAGCCTTTTATTTCGATTTAATCATCATAAAATTCTGGGAGCTGAGCTATGTTTGTGAGCTAATTATCCCATTACCTTCCCCTTAAGGAACTCACGGTAAAAGGTCTGGAGGCGGAGATCAACAAGATGAACTGCGACCACCAGCGCGAGGTGACCGAGCTGAAGCGCAGCCACCAGATGCAGTTGCTCGACGCTCTGGAGGAGGCGCGCACGAAGCACGAGCAGATCGAGACGAGCATCCGCGAGAGCTGCGCCCAGGACCGAGAGGCCATCATCGAGAAGGAGCGGACGGCCATCCGCGAGCGATTCGAGCGGCAGCTGGAGGAGGAGCAGAGAGCGCATGCAGAGCAGCGCCAGAAACTGAGCGAGGAATTTGCCGGGGAAAGGGAGCGCCTGCAGACGGAACTGCGGCAGCGGGAGAACGATCACCAGGCCAGGAGACAGGAGGCACTGCGGGAGCAGGAGCAGGAGCTGGAGCAGGCCAGGTTCGAGATGCAGGAGCGCATGGCCAAGCAGGAGGAGAAGTACCAGAACCGCATCAACACCATCGAGCAGCAGTACCAGGCGGACTTCGAGCTCTGGAAGACGGAGCACGAGAACCGGGCCAAGCTGGCCCAGGCGGAGAAGGAGAACGCCATCAGGCAGCACTACCGGGCGGAGCGGGATCGCCAGCTGGATGAGCTGGTGGTGCGTATGGAGGCCGATGCACTGCAGCACGGCGAAGAGCACGAGCTGAAGATCAAGTGAGTAGGAGCTAACTAAATGACTAAATATCATGTCATAGTGCCATAATGTCATAAATCCTCCCCTTTTCAGTCGCCTCAAGGAGAAGTACGAGAAGGACCTGGTTCTGGCCGAGAATGTGGAGAAGTCGCTGCGGGAGAAGTACGCCGAGACTCGAGGCAAGCTGGCGGAGGCGGATGCCCAGGTGCGGAACAGCCAGGCGGAGGTGAAGCAACTCCAGCTGGAGCTGAGTCACAGCAAGAAGATGTGCGGCGACATCATCATGGAGCGGGACCGACTGCGGGACAACCTCAATGCGGACATCCAGAGCGAACTGGGGGTGCTCAGTGAGCGGCACAAGCAGGAGATGGATCAGCTGCAGAAGCGCGTCCACCAGACCATCCATCGCCAGGAGGAGACCATTGAGATCCTGAAGGGCGACAACGATGCCCTCAGGCAGCAGTGCCTGAAACTGAACGCTGTAATCAGGCAGCAGCGCAAGGATTATTGCGTTAAGTAGGAACATTGGAGATTAAACTACGGGAAAACTATCTTAGCTTATAAACAAATGCATGGGATCTACAACAAAACTGCTTTGGAAACTCAATTTAATTTAATAACTGAGTAGGCTAAAAATAGAGCCTAGACATGCAATAGTATGAATTTAAAGATTCATCCTTCAGATTACTTTTATTTAACGCGCAAATGTAGGTTAGGTATAGCTACCTAGATAGTATATTTAACAAACATTTTTTATAAAATAAAAAACTAATTAAGCAAACAAGCTATAAAGATAAACACTTTTTGGAGCTGTATTATTAAATTAAAACGGCTATTTTTTAAACTACGATAAGATCGATAGGCAGAGTGGAAACATTCGATAGCTTTCAAGGCGCTATGGTATTTTGAGGGAAAAGAGCAGCGGTCACATTACACGCGGCACAGTAAAAGAAATTTGCTTTGAATGTTTTTATTACAAATTAAACCGCGCAATGGATGTTTTGCAAGATTATAATAGGTACTCCCATATCGGCAATAGCTTTGGCTTTGTTTGCAGGGTATGTAAGGTGTCTAAAGATAGAATAACTTGATTAATCAAAGATTTTACGCACAGACCATGGAAAGACACTGTGGAATGCAGCAACTGGCGTCTTATGAAAAATACGAATTTGTTCAGCTCCTGAAGATTCTGAATGCGAAGGAAAAGGTGAGTGAAAGGTGGAATAAACATACCCATTTATAACAACTTATATATTATAGATGCTGGCCGCCAGATTCTTTTGCCAGTTGCCCGCCAATGTGGGCAGTTTCCGGGTGCTCCTCCAGTTGCAGGAACTCCGCATCCTGACGGCCACGCAGTACATCCTTAGGTGGGTTTGGAGTCACTATCTGAGTTCCCCCACTGATCAGTTCATGTATTCACAGAAAGGAGCACTCGGATCAGCTGCAGGTGGACTTGATCATATTCCTGGAATCGGAATTCGAACTTCTGGCAAATGTCTTTCTCTCAGCTGCTTATAGTGGGTTTTCCATTAATACTAATGATATATCCTATTAAACTACATTATACACCTTCAGATGCCGATTTTGCGATGAGGTTAACTTTAATCCTAACAACAGCATTGGGCCATCTCTATTCCGGCCTCGTTAGCAATCCTAAAATAAGCAGTTTGGGCTATTTGGAGCCCCTGTGTAAAGCCCTGCCAGGTGGGTTTGTCACCATAATAATTCCTAAATACTAATGTTGCCCATTCTTCAGATGATGCCCTGTGTGTCTGCATGAATATGCATTTAAATACCCTGCTGGAACTTCACCGAACGGAGAGTATAAACGAAGCATTTTCCAACTTTAGCGCCTGGATCAATGAGGGTGTGGACGAACTGACTTTTGTGAAGCACCTCTGCGATAGGGTACTATATCCCTACAAAAAAATACACACATGTCCTTATGTAATCCCTATTTTCAGCTCTTTGTTGGCCATCAACAGGAAGCTCTTCAGTACCTTTTCAAGCAATCGAACTCTGAAAACTTTAGGCAATGGAAGTTTTACCTAATTTTAGTGCAGTCTATTGCCAGTGGAGCCAGTCCCGAAAGCACTGTATATATTAAGAGTAAGGATCTCTTTGCTACCTGTTCGCCTAATTCTATTAATTGACTTTTCCATGCAGAATATCTGAAAAATAGACTTTTGCAAACCGCATCTACCGGCTGCCTGACATCCCTTCTTCACTTGCTGCTAACTGCACGAGCTGCCACTGCCTCAACCATGGATATTCAGAAAAATCTGGACAACTACGCCAAGTGGTACAAGCAGAACATTGGTGAAATGACTTACATACTTGGCACGGAAAAGTTTCAGGTCATTTTGGGTCTCCTGGAGGAGGCTTTGCCATACGAAAAGGAGTTGCAATATTTGGAGGTTAGTTATTACTAAAAAATTGTGACCAGATATACATTTATGATATTTTGCTTACAGATACATGTCTCGATTGCCATTTCACCTGGCGGTCGACTCGTTCAGGCCTACAAAACCAAGTGCCGAGCACAAGTGTCTCAACTTAAATTGGCAGCAAAGAGAAAAGCTTCAAGGGATTAGATACGAGGTAGGATATTTCCTTGTAATTACTGCAGTGCAGCGTACAAATATAAATTACCCATGCGTTGCCCTCAGATACTTTATTTGCCTCTGAAAATATGTAAATTAATAAGCTACCACTTGTTTCTGCTTTTCGCTTATGAAACATTTTGACTTTACGGGCTTCAACTGAAGTCCGTCGCATTCGTCTGCTCTGGTGCAGATGAATCTCTTGTGAATATTGCAGTCTGCAGACTCAAACTTGTAGAAGCCATACTCGTGTTTTACAAAGGCGCATAGTCCATCGTTCACGAGTTTGGAATGGATCGGGGAGTACTCGATGGACTTGTTGTTGGAGACGTATCTGTAGTTCTTTTTCTCATGAGAATTCAACCCGAACCAGTACTCGTGATCCTCGTGGTTAAATTTAGTTTCCATTTGAACCAGGGTAACTTCGGTGTTCAGATCAGCCAAACACATGTGGTGTTTTTGGCACTCAATTAAGGCATCAAACCAAGAGGCCTGTGGTACAGATTACTTAGCTTTGGATGACCTTCGTAGTCTTAAAATCACTTACTATTTTAAGACTGAAATAGAGACATATTCCCTTTGAATTCACTTGACCGATATGAAAGTAGAGCACTAATATGGAGAGATGGCAAAGAATCCGCACTTGAAAACTCATTGTGTGCTTCGTTTGCTATATTAAGATGTACTGTGTGGATTTTGAAATGTAGCTTATTCGAAGAAGAGCTTATAACCTTATTATACCATGGTTATATCAATTTTACTTATTGAGGCTATTTTATGTGTATAGGATTTTTTCTTAGCTTGGCTTTGTAGAGCAATGTTTTAAGCTTTGGCTTTAGCTCTTAACTACTTTTTGTTTATACATTTTTATAATGGTATTCTGACTATAAATACAAAATATTAAATTGTTCAAAGTTAAATCAAATGTCCTTAACTAAATGAAACATCCTACTAATTTGTTTTAAATTATCAAAAAATATTTCTTTACATATTAAAAATGTTTGGTTGTTATTCTCAACTTTAGTTAGGTTTCTTGAATATCTTAGGGGTCTCCTGGGTTTGCAACCATTTTCCGTCGGTATGGCACCACTTGGGCTAACAGGTTCCACACCGAAAGGCAGAACGACGCCAGCGTTTCCAAACTCAAACACAAAATAGTAAAAGATACAACAAAAGTAGCACCGCTTCGGGTTCTGTGAGTTCAGGCGGCTACTTTCGCTTTGAGTTTATACGTTTCTGTGCTCTCGACGCAGTCGGACGTTTAAAAATAAACGCGCTCCTCCAAAAATACCCAACTCGCTGGCCACAAATAAATCTGAACAAATTCGAATTACCATCCGATCAAGTACAGAATCCGAATATCAGTTCTTCGACTCTAAAAACACCGAGAAAAAACCGAAAGTTTCAAAATGTTCAGCTCGATTTCAGGTAAAGCAAACCCCACCGACGTTGTTCATGTGAAAGTTTTGAAATTAGAAATCTAAGTCTAAGCAAGCCGTATGTATACGTATCCGATATATGCATCCACGAATGGCTATATCTATATGTATGCATACCTACGTGCAGTGAGTGAATCAATCGTAGTCAGCATATGACCGCATTGCAAGCAAGGATGGCAGTGCACACCAGTTACATCATCATCAGGGGAGCCAGGAGTAGGATGGCTGGAGCAGCTGGCCACCCGGGAATTGGCTTTGCCTTTGGCTTTGGCTTTGGGTGGGGTTGGCCAACCGGGCGTGTTCGATCCGATACGGGTCGCAATAACAAAAACTTAATTGTCTGCTACCGTGGCTCCATGATGATGATGATGATGATGACGACGCCGCGGATGATACGTAAGCCAATTATGGCGCAGTTATATGTAGCTTCAAATGGACTACAAGTTGCTGTTCTCGCTGGCACATCCCACATCCCACAACCCACACCCAAAACGCAGATACGTATATATAATTATAGCTGCCTAGATACACACTACACGTATCGGCGAGCATATATACTTTGTGTCTTCAAAGGGGTTATGCTTTATGGTGTTTCCTTGAAACGAAACACTTATGCTTTTCCAAGTGGGTGCAAATCAAAGTTCTGGCGTCCATCTCTGCTTCCGATTTCTGAAATTCTTCAGCCATAGATTCCACTTAGAAGACCGTCTGGTCAAGCATTGGCACTTGAGATAGGCATCTTTATTCTATTATACAGATTATATGTAAATCCTATATATACCTAATAATATTATCTGTTTTCACTCAATGCCAAACAGATGCATCGAAATGTAAGTAACCCCAAATGGTGAACTTTCCACGAAATTAGCTTAGTTGATAATGCTGTTCAGTTCTAGACTAGATTCCTTACCGACTGCGTAGTGAATCGATCTTTAGTAGCTGCATCTTTTCCTTTCCCGAACACATTGATCTTGTACAGCATGCCATTGGGATTATCAGCGGTTTATGCTAGACAAAACATTCCTTTTGTAAATTATGCGGAAACCAATTGGTATAGGTAAAATGATTGATTCGATTCTAAACAATTCTGGCTGGCTTTTAAGTTCAACATTTTTAATTTTGATTGACTTTTTCAAAGCTTTGTAAACAAAGACAAACCTAATTAAACAGAAAATTCATATTTTAATATGGCTTAAGTATAACTTTAAATCTTACAAATGTTTAATAGGTTTTTCTAAGCATTCCTTTTTATAACTTTATGGCAATATAGGATTTTTAGAGTCACTTTTGAACCTACCGAATATAATTTATCTAAAGACTTAAGTGGCAACCTATTGATAATATGGTTTCAGATGTTTTGTCATGTTTTTTCTTTCTGGTTTGCAGATGAAGTTCTAATAATAATAATATGGTTTCAGATATTCTATCATGTCTTTTTGTGTTGTGGTTTGAAGATGAAGTTCTTTTGTGTTTAACTTGTAGCCATTTGATCATCAACATAGTAACATGGTTAAAATTCAAATTTATTTTGTGAAAGCTCAAACATTCTTGGAGTCCCTAGTTGTCTATTGGTCCGCCTGGTTGGTGGGGTTGTCTGGTGGTGGGGGAGTGGTGCTCTTAGGCCGCCGGAACTGCAATTGCCACAGTGGTTTCTGCCTCTGCCGGCGTAGCGGTAGCTGCTCCTCCTGCACCTCCTGCTCCACCTGCCCCTCCCTCCGCTGCTGCCGCAGTGGTAACTCCCGCTGCTCCTGCCGCCGGAGTGACAGCGCCTTCGTCCGGCGCGGGAGTGGCTTCTCCAGCGGCTTCTCCTGCGGCTGGAGTCGTCGCTCCCTCTTCCTGGTCGAGCTGGTCGACCTCCGAATCGACCTCCTCGCCCACCTGCTCCCCGCCGAACTCCTCAAGCTGCTGACCCTCACCTCCAGGCGTCGTGCCCTCCTCCTCCGCCTCCTTCGAGGACCCGATTTCCGTTGAATTCGAATTATCAGCTGGCCGTGAATCGCTTTCCACACTCTGCTGCTGGATCCCCGCCGCGTGCTTCTCCTTTTTGGCCGCGTCGTGGTGGAAGTGATGCAGGTGCTCGTGGCTGTGGTGCTCCCCGCTGCCGCTGCTGTCCGCCGTGGGATAGGCGCACTTGGGCTGGTTTTGCTCGCACACGAAGTACTTCTTTTCCTGGCAGTTCACGTCCAGCACGACGGTGCGGTTGGGCCGGATGCGGATCTCCAGGCAGTCGTCCATGTTGGAGCGGTGCGTCGGCTCCACCATGCCGGTCTCGCCCATGTAGCGCACCAGCCGCCCGCTGCTGATGTAGGTGAAGCGACCCTCCGTCTGCAGGTCGTTGCCCCCGAACCAGTAGTCATCCAGGCCCACCAGCCCCGCCATGTGGTGGACCAGTGCGTTGAAGTCCTCCGGACTGGACACGTCGGCCAGGTTGAGGCCCTTGCGCAGGCAGTTGTTCTGGGCCCCGAACCAGTTGATCTGCCAAAAGATTTGTCATTCTGTATTTTGTAATCACTCAAAGGATTGTCTTCGCAAAATGTCCTATAATCCAAGAGCTAGCACCTACGATATAGAGCAGTAGCTGCTCACTGTTCTCACCTTTTTGAAGGATACGTAGTAGCACTTGCCGTTCACCTCTCTTAAATAGGACTTGCCGCAAGGACCCTTGTCCTTGGCCTTCTTGCTCTGCTTTCGGCCGCATCCGAAATGGACCGCCATCAAGGTCAGTATCACAATTGATAGGATCCTCATGGCTGCCAGCGGAACTGAGCCACCTGTCCAGCCAAACTGTACACATGCGTGCCGCTCCCTGTTCTATATATACCCTTTTGTGGGCGTGTCATCTGCATTATCGGGAAGCGGTCAATTTCCGGTTGGAAAGTGCATTTTCACTCGTTGATAAAGTCCGACCAATTGATTAATTGCAATTAGTAATGGTGATGCTCACTCAGAGGGTTGTTACACCAGTTGGTAATTGTTCACTTACCATCAGTATCAAAATCATGCTGGTGCTCGTCAGTCTTTCAACTCAAATGGAAAAATAGATTTCCGAATTAACGGACATTTTTAATAGGTTGCCTAATTCAATCATTCGAATATTTTAATGCTTTTTATCAAGTACTATTATTTTATTTACGTTGTATGTTGTTAGTGACCTCACTTAAACGTCTTATCTCCCAGTTCTTCTACTTATAGGTAGATATATTTAAGCATTATCTAACTGTGATCTTAAAATTAAGGTTTTTGGGTCAATATCAATATTGGAGAAGCTCTGCTAACATCAGTTGTTTATATATGCATCTGCTTCGTATTAAAGCTTTCCTAAAGTCTTATCGTTAAATAACCTTTTAGATTAGTTTGCAATTTTTTATCGCAAATTATGTGTCTTAAAGTATACAACCATTATTTAAAGTTAAACCATAAAAGCAAATGAAACTTACACTTAAATAGCTTTCAACTTTAATTTCATTGATGTATAAAGAGTGAACAAATTTTCTAATGTCTCAAAATGCTTGTATAATTATCAATAGATTTTTTGATATTTTAATGATGTAACCCCTTTCTATTTTTCCCAAAAATATCTTTTTTGAAAAATGGCTATGCAGGGAAGTGACCTAAATTTAGCACTTCTAAGGCCATAGCTTTTCTTAAACCATTAAAGCAGCATAGTTATTGCTAAATCAAAATGCAGGCATTATTATTTGCTGTCGTTTATTTGTGATCGAAAGGAAAGGCGGGAATCATTTGGACAATATTCTACAGCTCAGGTTGCTGCCGCAGTAGTGGCCGCTTCGGCGGCTTCGGCCGCTGCACCTTCGGCGGGTGGAGCAAGTCCTGACGGGGCGGCAGCTCCTTCCACGATGGCGGCTCCTTCCGCAGGAGACACTCCTTCGGCGGGTGGAGGAGTTGTTGCTCCTTCTTTTCCCTTTTCATTTCCTCCCTCGACTGCGGCTGCGGCTGCGGCTGGAGCTTCAGTGACCTCGGGGGTTTCACTTGCTTTCGGCTCACCCGTCGCGCCTCTTTGTTCTGTTGGATTTTCTGGTGCGGCAGTGGTGGCATTGGCCTGATTGTTGTCCAAATCCGGCACGTCCACCGCTCCGGCCGCCTCCTCCGAGTCCTGCTCCCCGTTCTCCGGCGATCCACTTTCGATGGGCTCCTGGCGGTCCAGCGCCTCCTCCTCCGCCTCGCCGTCGCCACTCTCGCCGATGTCGTGGTGGAAGTGGTGCAGATGCTCGTGGCTGTGGTGCTTCGGCTTCTTGGTGTCGTCCGTGTCCTCGCAGTAGCGCTCCGAGCAGATGAAGTACTGCCGCTCCTGGCAGTTGTCCGCCGTCACCATGGAGACCTGCGCCCGGATGCGCACCTCCAGGCAGTCGTCGCACTCGGAGTGCTCCATGGGCAGCACGTTGCTGAAGTTGCTGTAGTAGCGCACCAGGCGCCCGTTGCTGATGTACTGGAAGCGGCCCTCGTGGTACAGGTCGTTGCCCCCGAACCAGAAGTCCTCCGTGTTGCCCAGGCCGCTCAGGAAGCCGATGGCTCCGTCGAAGTCCCTTTGGTTGCCCAAGTCGGCCAGGGTCAGTCCTTTGCGCAGGCAGTTGTTCAGGGCCCCAAACCAGTTCATCTGTAGCAGGATTGGTAGACTATAGTCCTTGAAAGGGGTTACCTCGTCTAGCTACCTCACCTTCTTCACCGAAAAGTAGTAGCACTTGCCGTTGATCCTGCGCAGATAGCGACGTGCACACGGAGGTCCTGAATCCGTTCGCATCCCCAATCCCAGGACCTCGTCCCGCGGCAGGATGCCCAGCAGGGCCACGAGTGCAGTCAGTAGATGCTTCATTTGGATGGCTGCCGCCGGTGCACAGTGTCCGGCTTCGAATCGCCTCCTGTACTTATATCCTCCGCTGGCAAGCAGTGCGTCCAATCGATCTGCAACCCATCGGAATATCGCAACATCGGAGGTGCTGGTCCGGCATCTGGCTAATTCAATTACAAGTTCATGCCTCCGGAATGCCAACGCCAATGTCGTGGGCCAATTTGTTCAGCCGCCAGTGGGTCAGGTTTAGGGTCATTCAATTTAATTGCCTATTAGCTACACTTGAAGAAACCGAGGCGGAAGTTGTAACAGCGGGTTGGCATTACAAGTGCAATGTCTAAATGCCTTGATTTGTTTTACATTTCTGACTGTTAATTTTTTGTTACTCTTTTATTTCTCTTAAACTATACCTCATAATTGATCATTAAATTAGAATAAGTATAACATTTCGTTTAAAATGTAATTACCTTTTTTTAAAATACTCTTTTTCCATCCAAAAATCAGACAATCAATATCTAAATTTTTTTCTCTTTTAAATGCTGTCATTCAACTGACAAATAATATTTTGTTATGAAATATGAATTTCTTATTCTCCAGTTTAAAAGAAAAAATTCACTCTGTACATTTACCATTTATAAAACATATTTATTTTTAGTTTGTGCTGTCAATCTAAATGCTAATTGCTTTTAAAGGAGTCTATAGTAATGCCCAGCCCAACCCCTTCCAAAAAGCAGGGAATTAAGCTCTGCGATTCGATCAATTCCAGTGACTCCATAGTCATTAGCATAACCCGCCCAAAGGGCTCCATGTCTGGGCTGCCCTCGCTCCTTCCGATTATTGATTTACCTGGCGAGGCCATGACATCAGCCATTGGATGTCCCTGGGCCAGGACACGAATCCTTTGGCCACTTGGCCTGTTGCCAGCTGACTCAGTTGACCTTCATTCGGATGACGATTGTGCCGGGGGCCCAAACAATTGGTGGGGCGTGTGAGCAACATGCCACCACTTTCTGTCTATCTGCCACGCGCTGCCACCGTATATATACGTATGTATCGTATCTCGATTGTGCATTTGTAGCTCACATGACATCATCAACATCAGAAACAGCAACAAAAACAGCAACAGTAGCTGCTCCATCGATTCACCATGGGTTGTAGCTCTTTTCAGGCATCCAGAACTGGTGTGGAACGTGAGTCGGCAGACCTCAAATCGCAGTTACTCATAGATATTCATTCCAGCGATTCTCTGGTGGCAAAGGTGTGTGTGCTTGTGTGTTCCAAACTGGGTTCTCGTGTACCCCAGCTACAGGTTTTCCTCTATTCCGAAGCTTCTGCGCATTATCTGCGCTACAACATCGTCATCTACATCGACAAAAACAGACAAAAAAACAACAACAGAGAAACAGAGAAACAGAGGCTGTGAGAGCCTGGGCTCTGGGCTTATTGTGTTACCTTCTGGCCATGCTTCTAGCCGGTTTTCAGTTTTGACCACAAACAGCCGCAGTCTCGAATAAAGACTGCCAAGAACCAAACCAAATGCGTCGTATTTCGCAAATGCTTTAAAAAGCTTGATTGCCTAAGGAATTCCACGAGTGTAAGCCATACAAATGTATGATTAGCGGATTAGAAGGGGGAATATTAAAAATTATATATCCTAATTCAACATATGTACATGGTGTTTGCCTTTTCGAAAAGGAAACCTTTTTAGTCTCTTTTCATTTGATTTTAATTTTGTGATTACCACACGTATGGCGTGTGTATTTTAAGTACATTTTAATACGATTTTAATTTCGAAAACAAAACACAGCAAATATATTTAGCAATGCATGTTCTCTCTATACATAATGTTTAAATTGTAGAATGCACGATTATTTAGAATTACATTTTTAGATATTTAGTAAGTTCAATGCCACAAACATTTTGTAGCCATTAGTAGCTTACATTCCTTTGGCACACCCTTTTGGGGCGGTGGAAGGTATTTTAACACCTCGATTGTGCCCCACACATTCCCCAATCTTGATATGAAGTATGCCGCAACCGAAACTATTATTTTCGCACAATTTGCAGCCTCCGCGGAGGCGTGTGGATCATTAAATGCGGAATGAAATTGGCCGAAACTAAATTATTTGAAAATGGGCCGAGGGGTGAAGCCATTAAAGTATCTCTCTCTCGGTAGAGAATTGGAAAAACAACAACATTCCCGATCGCAATCAGAAAGCGTGAAGGGAGGCCCCTAGAAGCCGAGGCGATTTCATTTAGCGGTTCCCCATTATGACATCACATTCAGCGAATAATTTGAATATTTGCGCTTTGTTTAACCCATTTGCATATATGTTCGAGTGTATACCACCAAACAGTTCTCGCTTAAGTGTAGACAAAGGAATTCCTCGGCATTTCCTCGCCCGTTTCCGTTTCGCCTAACCGATTCGGACCCGATTCCCAGTTTAATGGCACAATGTTTCTATTTGAGTGGGCGCACACGTCACTCCAAGTGAATGCATATGCGAGGGGACAGCAAAAAGCTGCCGCTCGTTAATTTCTATTAAGTTGCGAATATTTCTGAGAGCGGCTAATTTGCTTTAAATTTTAAGGCTGACGCCATGGGTCGCTCGATCACGATCTTAGCAGCACCTAGTTGCGCAGTTTCTATTTCCATACACAAAATACACCAAAGAAACTGTCCCTTGTCTAATCGATTTTAGTCATGCAAATAGTTCATGCTCCAGCTGAATTTGTTTATGTTTCGGCAATTACCAGTCTGGAATTTGGAATCTGAAATCTCTCATCCGATCGCCAGCTAATCCCGCTGATTAAAATCAGGCTATAAATTATAATTAGCGCCAGCTCAGAGCTTAGTTAGCATTCAGAGAGCCAGTCAGCAGTCAGCAGCCAGCAGCCAGCATGTTTCCCAGTCGCCAAAACCAAAGTAATCCGATCCAACTAATCCGAGCCCACTTACAATGCAAACCATTTCCTCATCTGTTCCCGCAGCCTCGTTGAAGAACTTCGGCGACAAGACGGCCAACCTGTTCAGCAAGAAGAAGGATGAGGCCGAGAAGCTGGCCAGCGACAAGGCCGCCGAGGCCCAGAAGTTGGCCGAAGAACAAGCCAAGAAGGTGGGCCAGTCGGTGCAGCAAACCAAGGGAGAGGCCGAGCAGCTAGCCGCCAGCACGGGTGAGTAAAGGTTCAGTAAAACAGTGGTCCAAAAGGGAGGGTTCACTAGGAAAACCAAAAATATATCATACAACATCCAGGAAGCTATAGGTTATTTTTAGAAGACTGCCAAAAAAGTCATAAGCAAATATAAAATTTAGCTAATTTTTTGGGAAATGTTAAATTCGCTCTTGTCTATTGAAGCTATAATAATTTAAAATTTGTAAGCAAAATTTTGAAAACCACTTTTCGTCTTATAAAGTGTAGATAACTTATGATTCAAATTAATTTTTTATAACGCTTTTGAAAACGCTTTTTTGCTTTAAATTGCAGGTATTTAAATTTGTAAAGAAAATTTACAAATCAATTTTCGTCTTTTAAAGTGTAGTTATCTCACATTACAATGTTTTTTGATGACACTTTTGAAAATGTTGTTTGCTTTAAATTACTAGCATTGTTTTTGATTCCTAAAAATTGTTTTTCAATTTATCTAAAACGCAAAACTTTGAAGCACATTAAACACAAGGAAACATAATAAATGGATTCCTAAAAAGACGCAGTGACGCAGTAAGTCCAATCAAGAAAATGCTGTGTGTTTTAGAAAAAAATTTCCAATAATATTGAAAGTGTTTTTATATTTATGAAAAGCACAGAAAGAAAAATAAATAATGTGATACAAAAGTTATATGTGTCTTTGGCAAGCATTTTCTAAGTTAGTTTGAATTTCTGGAATTTAATTAACCCATTTTGAAGTCTTTACGAGTTGTGCCCTGCTAATAACTGCTTATCCTTTGCAGCCAAGGAAGCCGCCGCTCTGGCCACCGCCGAGGCCCAGAAGGCCGGCCAGGTGATCGACCAGGGCGTCAGCCGGGCCGCAGGAGCCGTCAACCAGGGCAAGCAGGCGGTGGACAACACGGTGGCGCAGGCGCAGGCCGCGGCCCAGAACTCCAAGCAGGTGGCGGCCAACGTGGCCGAGGCCTCCCAGCGGGCAGCCGCCAACGCGGTGGACCAGACCAAGAAGGCGGCCAACGATGCCATCAACAAGAGCGTGAAGGCCGCCGAGACCGTGGCGGACCAGAAGCTGAAGCAGGCGGAGGGCGCCATCGACGGGGCCATGAAGCAGACAAGCCAGGCGGTGGACCAGAAGCTGCAGGAGGCAAACCAGTACGTCGACCAGAAGCGCCAGTCCGTCGAGAAGAGCGTCCAGGAGGCGGCCGGACAGGCCCAGGAGTCCGCCGGACAGCAGGCCAACGCCCTGCTCGGCAAGCTCCATCTTGGCTCCAAGTAGACGCAGTCAGCCCAAATATCTCGATGTGAAAACGCTTTAGAAACAGAAACAAAAACAGAAGGGAATTTGCTTCAATGTAACGAGTGCCAGTAATGTGATTGCTAAATCCTCAATTGAATATATATACATACACATATTTTTGGAATATCGCGCGGTAGAATTATTTTGTATATGCAGCCGCTGCTGCTGCTTTTGATGTGAGGGCATTTCGGCACATCTCTGTCCGTACAAAGTGTAATTAACCCCTTCGTTCTTTTTCGGTCGACTTTTGTTACTTTGAGGCATTTGATATTTTGTATACAGCGACGTTGAGTGCGCTTTTAATATACGCATATTTTGTTTATGTAGAAATGTATGATTAAGTACTTTTAACTCTTGCACAATGCATTGCAAATGTGTTTTTAATATATTCGACTCGAATGAGATTTGTGGTTTTTTAATCGGTGGGAAATTACGGAAGTATTATTGTGTGATTAAATTTAATTGTACTTTATTGGAAACATGGTTAGTTAAATACGTTGAAGAGCAAAAAATATGGCACAGTAAACAGATTTATGGGAAATGTATAATATACAAATTTCAACCAAGGCGCGCAATGTAACGGAAAACATTTATCTGGCCACACTGCATTGACATATTTTACATGTTCTTACCTGCACTCTACATTTTTTTTCTGACTGGCGCCATCTAGCTGTGGGGCAAACACTTTAAAAGGTTTGGAAATTAATAGGGGATTACCGTTAAGGGAACTCAAAACTATTTAAACTAAATAACAAACTTATTTTAAAACTGACTATGGGTCCCTTTTAAGCTTAGAAATAAGTTTAAAGGAACAGAAGCAAGTATAGAACCGTATGGTCAGTATGACAGATAACATATATGGCAGTTATTTTTTGGCAAAATAAATAAACTGTACGAACTAGGAAAAACAATTTAATTTAACTTAGTTTTTTGAAATTTAAAAGTATAAAAACCGTTTGCTTTAAGAATGTAACATTAATTTAATTTTCAAGGGTTTTATTTTTATAATTTTGGTCCTCTTTGACAATTTTTCATTCTTTCAACGGAAAAGAATTTTTTTATTTTGAGCCAAATAAACATATAAAAACGTTTTTTCTTTTATACTTTCTCCCTTTAACTGGCCATTTGGCTTTGTCTCATTTCAGGACCTTTTGCACATATGGAACGTCGCCTGGTGAAACTTTCGCACAAAGGTGTACCAGCGATGGGATCTATACAAATTGACCGAAACATGCTGAAATTTGCTAACAGAAGAGCTCGCATTTTTGTCGTCCGATATGTCGGGTAACTTTTCGCCAAGCCAAAGTTGTGTTAGTTTTTAATTATGGGAAAAGTTTGTTGTAGCTAACAAGTGAACCCGGCGCAATTGCAACGTCAATTGGACACACAACTTCAAAGGAGCAAAGGACGAAAGAAATGTGTGCAAAGTATTGACAGCAAAGTGCTGACATAAATTCAGGTAAAAGCGATTTTTAATTTCAGATAAACCCGCCTGCTGACTGGAAAAGCGAATGATAAATGCATTTCCATTGCCAAGTGGGAGCGAGGCGCCAAATTCAAATTTATGCCGGCCATGGAAACGTCGCGGCAATTAGGTTAGCCCAAGCGAGTTGATTTAAATTTAAGCGATACCACCAGACGATTAATTACAATAACTGTTTATCAACACGTATTAATCATGACTTAACATGCTCCCAACTCGTGTTGGCCCGAGCAAAATGGCGTGCAGCGGGGTTCCGGTCACGTTGGTGGTCATCGTCCTTTTTCCTCCCTTCTCCCAAGTTATTCATAAAAGCGATTTTAAATTCTTTGTTTTGTTAAGATGTTTGGAAAATTCATGTTGCCTTAAAGGTATTATTAAGGGGATTATTTATTCATATTTCCTTTTTTAATTAATTACAATTATAACTATAATGCAAAGAAATATTTACGCTTATACTTTTACTTTTGAAAACAAATAACCTTGAAGTATTTTAAGCTTCCGCGGCCTAATGATTATCTGATTGGCCCTTAAGCTCTTCATGACTTCTCTTTCTGATTTTAATCTTCGACAATCCGTAAACGAACCCACTCGTAAACATATTTAACATGCAAAAATTCCAGCCGAAACACTGGCCGACGGCGTTAATTTTATCTGAAAACTTAAATGTGCGCGTGTGTGGGCAATTAGGCGAGGGATACGGATACTATCGGCAGAGCAACTAAAATAACGCGAGAGCAGAAGTTTAAAGCGACAGCCACTGATTGTTGCTGCCGGGGAAGTCCCTTTTCCTTCGTCACACACACACACTCGCACTCACATCAACACTCACACCAACACTCACACACGTACCGAGCATTTTATCGCTATGGAGCCATTAGATCCGTGGGGAACTCAATGGACGTTGACGCGCGTCTTGCCAGCTGCATGCTAAATAAACCACCTCGACGAACATCAACTAAAACCAGTACACAAGCTGTAGTCAAGGGCCTCGACTGAGAAGTACTCAGTAGTATTGACTCAAAGTCTAGAAAATGTGCGTTTGACTTAGAAAAATGTTTATATTTTATTATGTTTATATATTACATACAAGGTGACATTTTTGATTTATTAAAGGACAAAGACAAGAACCTGCATATACAAAAATATTAAAATACGAATATGTTTTCTTCTATTAGACATAAACATTATGATGTGCATACAGACAAATGACTTTATATGTTCAATGGTCGTTTTCTGAATGACATTTTAAGGTTTCAGTTTTTTCCAAAGCACAGAAAGTTATTAAGACTTTCATTTTGGAAAAGGGGTTGTTATGGTATATGGACTGTTAAACCTTACAAAACAAAAGAATGTAAACTTTATTCTTTATATTTGTAATACTGGCCGATAAAATATTGGTAATAGTTTGGGGTTAAGCAATTATAATATTGAGTAAATAAATTGTTTATAAACAGAATTTTAATTTAGTGTCCGAACTTGTCATTACATTGAGAAATCATTGCTTAAGGGAGGATTATTTTTTAAATTATGCATTGTTTTTGGCATTTAGAGAAGTGTTTTTTAGAAAGTACTTTATGGGCAATTCCATTTTGAAATCGAGCATACCCTAAAACCGTGTAAAAAAGCACAACAACGGGCGAGCGACAGTTACGGCACCGAATGCGTTGTAATTGTCAGCTGAACGGACATGTAAAGAGGGCTAAAAGTGACGGAGGAGTAGGGGAATGGGTGCGGAACAATTGGCTCGGTGCTCAATTTGAGCCAGTGGCGCGTGTCGCAGAAGACGCAAATAAAGTCGAACGTCAGTCCGAAAGAAAGGCTCCCATCCAGAAACCCAGGGAACCCAGCAAAAAATGTTGCAACAGACGTGCCATGAAAGCCAAGGTGCAACGACAAGTGGCCCTAAAAGCCTCAGCCGAATAATTGGCTTACGGCATCTGAATCGAAGTCGGAATCGGAATCGGAATTGGAGGGCATGTGAAGGGTCTTAGCAAATTTGGGCATTCCATTTGTTTGGGTTGATTATTAATTGCAGATCAGGCAAATCTGTTCAATTGCCAGGCGGTTTGGTGAAGATGAGGCCTTCCAACGCAACTGCATGATGCGATAAATTCCTGCCAAATCCCTGACGTATGGGCATTGAGACAACTTTGATTGGCCTGCCGGTGATTTATGCCCAAGCTCATTAATTATGCTTGTTGGCCAGCCCGATGTTGATGTAGTCACCTGGTTATGGGTTATGCCAGTGAAAAAAGAAGAGATACCAGCAGGGTCGCCTGTCCGCCTAACGAGGTTCATAATTAGCAGACCCTGCCATTGGTTCTCAGTTAGCCAGTTAACTCATCGAGCAGAACAGTTGACCAGCCGAGAATTTATGGTGGAAAATGCAGGCCAAGGAGTCCCCGATGCCATGTAAATTTAGTCCACAATGTTAGAAAATAAATCGAGCGTTGCAGTTGCCGGCAATCGCCTCTTAACTCGTTGCACCCAAATTCAATTACTTCCGTCGCCCATTTTCTCCGGCACTTGTAATAATATACATATAAATTGGATCAGCGAAGGCATGGCAATAATGGACCCAAGTGAAATTGCATTTAGGCAGACTGGTGTCGCCAACTGTGCACGCATTTTATGCTTTTCATTGGACCGCGGCAAAGGTAAAGGCAGGAACCTCTTACAAATAACTCTTGCCATCTACAAATAAAGGTATTCGATTAGTGTTAGGACTGTGCCAGAAATTGCCAGCGAAAATAAATGGAATAATTGAAAGCTTGGAGTGCGAAATTTGTGAGCTGTTTGACACAGAGCTTAAAGTTTGCCTGTTTTTGACTGATGCTTTAAACTTTTACTTTCAATTCACTGATTTTAAATCTTATTTAATCTTTTAATCACTGTTTTTCAACTGCATGAGCAAAATAAATGTTTTGTCTAATACATTGGTCATTAAAACGAGTTTAATGAGGTCCATTATTTGCATCAATGTGGACAACATACAGATTTTTCATAAATTGTTACTTTTTTATTTATTTATTTTATTTATTTATTTATTCATTAACCATTTCGTGCTATTAACTGGCTACTATTAGATTAACTTAAGACTATATAGGACTATTAAAAAAGTATGGCATGTAATAGTAGCCAGTAAATAACATGATTGTCGATAAAATAAATAAATATTCAGAGACTAAATTGCCTTTTTATCGTGTCCAAAACTAAACCGGATTTTAGAAATGCAGATTTTTATAGAATTATAAAGAACATTTGTTTATTTTTTCTGTTTAAGGAAACTATTTCACTATTTTTTTCCTAGACTTAAGTGCTAATAGATTTTGAATTTAAAGTCATGATTTTAGGGGATTGATGAGATGTGCTTACAGGTAAGCTGCATGCACACACGTTTTTCTGGGCAAACTCAGTGTGTTCGTCTGCTAACCGTCTTAAGACTGCGACGTGTTTTGCTATTTGCCGAGGGCGAAGTGATTGCCATGGACACTTTTTGCCCTCCGAGAGTTCTCAGCAGGCAGCGGCTTAAGACGCCTGCAATTTCCCAGGAATAGCAGACCAGACACAAGGACAAGGACCGGACCTCCCACCACCACCACCACCTGGATCCCTTGAAAGGGACGAAATGCATAATTGAAATCTCCGATTGCAGCGACTGTGCTACGCAAAGCTAGCAATGGCCTGCATTTTCGGGCCATTGAAAAACGGCTACAATGTTTTTCAAATGACATCCATGGCGGGGGGACACTGCGCAGGCGCCGATTCGAGTGGAACCCATTTGGGCCAGTGAATATTCCTCCAAAAGCGAGGTGCTGGCCCAAGTTAAGCCCCAGTGCGACGTCGGCTGGCTAACCATACGCTTGGCTCCGCAATTTGGGGGCCCACATTGAAGCCAAACATATAGAGTCCGATTCCCAT